GGCTGATGGGGGAGTGGCAGCTGCCAGGGCCAGGGGCCTGGGAAAGGCCTGAGAAGTGCCCCCCCCCCCATGAAAACCCCTTCACTAAATTCCCTCACGGACCCTGAGCTGCTCCTTCCCCCTGTACATTTCCCCCTCTCCTTCCCAGCCTCCTCTTGGCTCCCCCACATCTGCTGCCTTCTGAACTCTCTTCTCCCCTCTGATCCCTCCCAATCTCCCCCATCCCACAGGGCCCTTCCCCTCGACTCCCTGACTCCTGCCCCCTGCCCCTTCCCTTCCCCACAACCTTCTCTCAAATCTGCGTCTCTCCACCCTCTGGAATTCCCCCTTCCCTACCCATGTAAACTGAGCCCTCCCCCTCCCTGGCCCTCGCCTAAATCCCCCCTCCTGTTCTTTACCCCTCCCCTGAACTCCCTGCCCCTTTGTCCCCCCGTTCCCCGTTGTGTCGTTGTGTCGTTGTGTCGGTTTAACTGTCACCTCATGCCGAGCTCCGCCCCCCTCAGGGCACCTAGGCCCTCGTTAGCCTCAAGGGATGGGGGCTCATTTGCATAGAGGAGGCTAGAGCGGCCAATCAGGGACCAGCCCTGGGGGAGTTATAAAGGGCTCCCCAGTGTCCAGTGGATGCAGACCCCTGGGCAGGACTGCACCTGTGCTGGGAGGCCCGGCTGCAGTCTCAGGGGAGGGGTCTGTGACCCACCCCAGAGCAGGCAGGGCCCCAGGTGGTGGCAGGGGGAGGCTGCCCTACACTGATGCTGGGGTCTCAGGGGCAGCATGAGGCTGTAGTGTCCAAAGCCATACGTATGGGGAGGGCAGGACCCAGGGGCCCCAGGGATGGGAGCCGGCAGCGACCAGAATAGTCAGCCTGGTAGCCAACTGGTAAAACAGGTAGCCACTCGGTCCGTGTCCTGGAAAGGAAAAGGACCGTGGAGGGAGTGGCAACTCCAGAACAATTGTGATGCTGTTTGGAGTGGGGGGAAGGAGGGCAACAGGGGAGTCTGTTTAGACTTCAAGTCTAGACGGTAGGATGTCCCACCACCACCATCAGCATCTGAAGTCCGTGCTTCTTTTCCAGCATTGGCTAACACCTAAGGGCAACTGGTATGAACCCCTATAAAATGAAATGGCTCAGTAGTGACAAGTGTACCTATCAGAGAACTGTTCCACTTGCAAGAGGAAACAGGGGAGTTGAGTTGTTTAACTTGTGATCACCTGATAATGGAGAGCACACTGTCCTGGGTTGCTGCCTACTAAACTGAATCTAAGAGCTTGTCTGCGCAGGTTGTGTATATCTTTAACTATATTGGTCTGAAACCAGACCAGTTATACAGGTACAACCCACATCACAAATGCAGTCTGTGTAGTCGTGGCAGCAGTGCTGGAAGAGAGTTCTCCCAGCACTGTAAAAGACCTACCCTCACAAGGTGCATAGCTCCCAGCTGGTGCACTATCTACACGGCCACTTTAGAGCACTGAAACTTGCCATCGCTCAGAGGGGTGTTTTTTCACACCCCTGAGCGAGAAAGTTTCAGCACTGTAAAGTGGCCGTGTAGACAAGGCCTTATTCTATCCATTCCCTTTGAAGCCTCTGACAGTGATCACTGTCGGAAGACAGGATACTGAGCTAGATGGAGCATTGGTCTGACCCAGACTGGCCATTCTGAAGTTCTTAAATTTGCACTGGAGTCCCTGAAAAAACCAGTTCTGAAGCCTACAGTGCCCTTTTACAGAGTCACATTTCAGAGTATAAATGATTTTAAAGTACACCTCTACCCCGATATAACGCGACCCGATATAACACGAATTCGGATATAACGCGGTAAAGCAGTGCTCCGGGGGGTCGGGACTGCACACTCCGGTGGATCAAAGCAAGTTCGATATAACGCAGTTTCACCTATAACGCGGTAAGATTTTTTGGCTCCCGAGGACAGCGTTATATCGGGGTAGAGGTGTAAGTCTCAAAGATAAGAAATGGAAACAATCTATTAGATCCAGTTACTCTAAAAGATCTGTGTGTGTGTGTGGGTATTTACAATGAGCCCTTCAACGTGGCACCTGGACCTGGTCATATCCAGCTCTCCCTCCTACCCACCTGGATTATTGGTGCGGGGATGCTGGATTATCCCCTACAATATGTTCTGCAGAGCAGGCTGGTATCTCTGTGGTGTACCCTATGAGCCTCTTTGGGGTTGCTGCCCCTAGCTGGGGCACTTTTATTGTCAATAAAGGTCTCAGTCTCATTCGTGAGGAGGATCATTTTGATGGTTTGTTTCTTCCTTTGTGCAATTGACTAGAATGTTAACCAGGTCTCCATGGGGCTGCTTTCCAAGCACGTTAATTTCAGTTTCAGAAACCTAACTGGCAGCAGACACCTCATCACTCTCTTGATTCTAATGGGGAATGGAAGGTAGACACGATTCTTCATTCCAGGGGACTAATTCTAATCAAGATCCGTGGGGTAAATCCTGAAATTCTTTCTCCTATTTTACCAGATTGATTTAATTAAGAGATTCTAATGCCAGAAGGGTCCACTGTGATCATCTAGTCTGACTTGTATAGCACAGGCCAGGGATGGGCAAATTTACTGCCCCTCTGAGCCACATACAACAATCTTCAGAAGTTCGAGAGCCGGAGCGTGCCTGCCAGGGCTCGGGGTTTCAGCCCTGCGGCGGGGTGGTGGGACTACAGGGCTTCTGCCATCCGGGGACAGGGGGTCTCAGGGCTTCATCCCCACGGGGTGCACCTGCCAGGGCTCGGGGCTGCAGCCCCACTCCCACTGAAGCCCCAAGCCCCAGCAGGCACCTCCCTCTGGGCTGAAGCCCTGAGACCCCCCTCCCCATTAAGCAGAAGCCCTTAGCCCCGCCACCTTGTGGCAGAAGCCCCGAGCTCCCCCAAACAGTCTGGTAGGCATAGAATGGGGTGGGCAATGGGGGCTCCGAAAGCTGCCCTTTAACTGTAAAAGAGCCGCATGCAGCTCACGAGCCACGGTTTGGCCATCCCCGGCACAGGCCATATAACTTCCCTGAAATAATTCCTGTTTGAATTAGATCATAGCTTTTAGAAAAACATCCAGTCATGATTTTAAACTAATAATAATAATAATAATAATCAAGTGTTTCCCTGAATAAGGACAGCGTACAAACTGAGAAAGGAGCGCAGAATTTGTCCCCTTGTGATAAATCTACATAACCCAGTGCAGTACGTTTTTAATCTAGAAAAAGGACCTTTTGCAATATTCAGAAATGCAACCGCTGATAATGGACCAGGAACGACACCGATCTGCACTTAATGGACTTTCCTGTGAACGTTCAAACTAGAGTGTGGGTAATGGCTTCTGCTATGACTAAGCGAACCAGGCATGGAGATGTGACTTGCCCATGTGACTCCAAACACCATCTTGTTATCTGTAATTTTCCACAGTGAGAATAATGGGTTTCCCTTCACTTGGCAGAAGCTATAAAAGACCTAGGAAACATCTTCCATTTTGCCTCTTTCCTGCTCAAACCTTTGGACTATGGATTTTTACTAATGGGAGCATTCTAACACAGGGACCAAGGACTGATATGGAGGCAACCAAGACTTGACTTAAGCCAGCAGTTTATTCCATCACTTCTACAAGCCTGAACTAAGAACTTGCAATTATTATATGTATTTGATTCCTTTAATCAGTTTTAACTCTCGTCTTTCTTTCTTTCTTTCTGTAAATAAACCTTTGATTTTAGATACCAGAGGATTGGAAACACCATGATTTTTGTGTAAGATCTGGGTTGTATATTGACCTAGGTGTGTGGCTGGTCCTTTGGGATCAGAAGAACCTGTTATTTGAGGAGACAGGTTTTAAAGGCTCACTCATCTTTAAATCCAGTGTTTTGGGGGGTGATACAAAGACTGGAATGCCTCAGGAAACTGCTTTCATGACTTGTTGTTAGCCAGTGCGGTCAGACAGAAGTTTAGTTTTGTGGTGGCTTGGTATATCCTATGGGAGAAAAAACACCAGCACTTCGGGGTGTATTTGCCCTGGTTCTGAGGAATGTGACGTGAATTTGGTATCCTCAGTTGTGACCCACAAAGGCACAGTTACACCACACTGGGGGGAGGGGGGGGGAGAAGGGGGGAGGGGCTTGAATGGGCAGCAGCATCACTTCAGTTGCTGTGATGCCCCCACCAGCCATGGTCTATCTGACTTTACTGGATGAGGTACAGGGAGGCCAGTGCAGGGATGTAAAGAAGTGAAAGACGTGACCAGAGCAGCAGGGTAGTTTAGCAAGTTTAATGTTTGGAGCCTAAGACTGTAACTCGGTGTGTGTGTATGTTTGCCTGCTTTAACCTTATAAATAACCCTCTTGTTTCCTCCGCCTGCCACCACCTGGGGCCCTGCCTGCTGTGGAACTGGGCATGGACCCTTCCCCACCCTGCAGCCATGGCTCCCAGCACAGGCACAGCCCTGCCCAGGGGTCTGCATCCACTGGACCCTGGGGAGCTCTTTATGTTCTCCATCACTGCCCCTCCCCACCACCACTCAACCCTGCTCCTTGACTTGGTCATCTCTCCCCTACACTCCTGCGGCTGCCTCCTCGCTGACCTTGCTGCCTCTCCCCTCCCTCTCCCTCAGCCCAGCCAAAGCGTAACTGGTAAACCACAGCCTGGGTGAGGGGGGATGTGGGCGGACTATAGGGCAACATGAAGGCTGCAAGGGTAGGGTAGGTCTGTGTGGGGAGGTCTGGAACAGAGGAATGGAAGCAGGAGGGGACGAAGACAGCAGGACCTGACTGTCATGAAACATATTCTCCTTTGTCTCCTGTTGTTCCCAGGGCAGACAGGAGGGTAAATTCCTCAGGCCTGTGAAGTGCTTTGAGCTCCTCAGAAGGGAGGTGCTCTAGGAAGGCAGGGCATTCTGGGTCAGGGACCGAGGCTGCATCCAGGCCCTTCTCCCCACCCGCCTTCATCAGGACAATCCTGCTGGCTCCTTAAGAGATCCCCTACGCTTTAGTTTGTACGGTGTGATTGGTTGGCCCCACAGACAATCAATTCCAAACCTTGCAGGGAATTACCAAGGCCTCGTTGGGCAGAACCCCATTGATTTTGGTAAACAAAACAAAAAATCAGAAAAAAGGCAAAACCTGATTTCCACTGGTGGAAGTGAGAGGAAAATGAGGCCCACAGAGTAGCCCAATGCCTGGAACCGTCCTGCTGCTGCCTACACATAACACGTACAGCAACTTGATGTGCTCACCCCCTGGCTGAGTGCACAACAGAGCATACCACCCTCTAGTTGGCTTGTTGCCATGTGTGACGGCTCCTGGCGTGACTCCCAAGGGACTGAACTGGAGAACTGATGAGCTTCGACAGCTTGAGGTAAAGCTCCATGGCTGGGGGCTGTAACAACTCAGATCCTTTTGCAGAAAGGGACATGTAAGTGACAGCACACACTCGCCAGTCGATTACACGGGAAAGAAACAGGGAATGGTACAAACTTCATCAATGGCAGTAGTAACTTGATCCTGCCCCAGCTTTATTGAACATTAAATCAACATGTTAATAGGATTTAATGTTAATAATAATAATTAGTCCTGCCTTGACTGCAGGGAACTGGACTAGATGGCCTCTCGAGGTCACTGCCCGTCCTATGATTCTATGATCATCATCCAACCACTAAAGAATCATTCATTGTCCGGTATATCACTTTTCTCAGGGCGTGTTTCACCTCCTTGTTCCTCAGGCTGTAGATCAGGGGGTTCAGCATAGGGATCACAAGGGTGTAGAACACGGACACCACTTTGTCCTGATCTGATGAGCTGCCGGATGTGGGCCGTAAATACATAAAGAACAGAGTCCCATACAATATGCTGACAGCCGTCAAGTGGGAGGCGCAGGTGGAGAAGGCTTTGCGCCTGCCTTCGGTAGACCGGATCCTCAAGATGTTGAGGATAATATAAATGTAGGAGATGAGGATGATCAGGACAGTACTCAATGCAGTTACAGCAGCAAAGACAAAATGCACTCTGCTATCCATGTGAGTGCTGGAGCAGGAGAGCTTCTGGAGTGGGGGGATGTCACAAAAGAAGTGATCGATGATGTTGGGACCACAGAAGGACAGGCTGAACAAAGAGCCTGTATGCACAACGGCATTGACACAGGCGTAGAAGTATGATGCAGCTACCAGCTGGACACAGACTTTCCTAGACATGATAATCGTATACAGCAGCGGTTTGCATATAGCTATGAATCGATCATATGCCATCACGGCCAGAAGCAAAGCCTCAACATTTGCACAGAGAGAGAGAAAGAAAAATTGCATGACGCACCCAGCAAAGGAAACGGCTTTACACTCTGCTAAGAAGTTCACCAAAGCCCGGGGGGCAATAACAGAGGAGTAAACAGTATCTATAAAGGACAAGTTGAGAAGGAAAAAGTACATGGGGGTGTGTAGCCGGGACTCAACTGTGATTAATGCGATCATCCCAAGATTCCCCACTAGGGTGACAATGTAGATAACCAAAAACACCACAAAGAGGATGGTTTGTAGCTGTGGACTGCCTGTGAACCCTAGGAGGATGAACTCAGTCACCCCAGTGTGATTTCCCTGCATTATTTTTTCCAGATATGGTCTATGCTGCTGGGGGATACATAAATAATAAATCAAAGATGATACTTATTATTGAAGAGGAGCCAAGTTGGGGTGGAAGGTGGGTGCCGCCATCTAGACACACAGAAGCAAGTCAAGATAGACAAGCCAAGTTATATCATGCCTACTGTGTGACGTTAATTTCTCTTAATAAAGATTCATGTCACTGGGGAATTCCCATGTTTTTTCTTCCTTAAAATAAAATAAAATAAAATAAAACAAAGGCAAATGGGAAGAAAAAATATTTAAAAGAATTTGCTGTGCATTTCAGCATTTCAAAAGTTGGCTAGCTTGGAACCCATCGACAATTGCAGATATATCTCCAAGTCAGTACTTTTGAAATACCTATTGCAAGTCTGGCAATTGTAAATATAACTTAATTGATACGGAAATAAATAGCCAGATATTGCTGCAACAATCCGACCTACAGTACGGAAGTGCATGGAGTGGTAGAAAATCAGCCTTATATTAGAGCTCTAGCATCCTTCCATAATTAAACCGTTCATTAGGAACCATGCTATTTTACAAGTCAATTCAAATCACGAATTTAGAATAAAGTCTCTGATTAAATTAAATAAACACCATTTGTGCTG